GGCTCACCGCAACCTCCGCCTCCTGGGTTCAGGCTATTCTCCTGCCTCAGCCTCCCGGGCAGCTGGGACTACAGGCACGTGCCACCATGCCCGGCTAATTTTTTGTATTTTTAGTAGAGACGGGGTTTCACCATACTCAAGGATGGTCTCGATCTCTTGACCTCGTGATCCACCCGCCTCGGCCTCCCAAAGTGCTGGGATTACAGGCGTGAGCCACCGCGCCCTGCCGATGGTTTGGCTTTTTATGGTTTTAAGAAAAACTAGACCTAGGGTGTAGAGAAGCACTTCAAAACTTCATTATGAATTCACCAGCATGGTAACTCCAACCTGTAATCCCAGCTACTCTGGAGGCTGATATAGGAAACGCTGGAACTCGAGAGGCGGAGGCTGCAGTGAGCCTAGATCATGCCACTGCACTTCAGCCTGGGTGACAGAGTGAGACGGGGTCTCACTCAAAAAAGAAGAAAATCAGTATAAATTCAAATACATTTGAAGAGACTAATAATTACTTCATGACAAGAACTTCATTATCCCCTACACTATATTCATATTTGGTGATTTCATGCAATTTTGTAAAAATGGGTGGCATGATTCTCGGTATCAATAAAAACAAAAGTTTATTATATACATGGGAAAAAATCATTTGGCAGTAAGAGACAGACGCTTAATTTTTTATAATTTCTTTATAATGCTGAATTTTTTCATCCTAAAACTGTTAACTTACCTTTTTACCAGGAGAAGAAGGTTTAAAAGTGTTTGAAATTGCTTCTTTCTTCTCTTCTCTTTTAATTGGTGGTAAAGGTTCCTCAGAAAAATAAGGGTTAGCATCAAAATAGTCCCTTGGGTGAAGATTTAACTTAAACGGTGCTCCTTTAAGTAAACGATGGTGTTCTTCATTCGCTTTCTGTAAATTTGAAATTGCATAGCATAAATTACACAAATTGAAACTAACCCAGAGTTAAATCTTTTACATTTTAATATAAACATGATTCTTAAATACATATTGCTAGGTGTACTTTTTAAAAACATTAATTTGCTAAGTTCCATTTTTATGATACAAAAGACATGTCCACTTACAGACAAGCAGAACTATGATTATTCATTTTGGATACAAATTTATGTGTAGTACTGAGACCTTATTGCCTGAACAAATCTATATGAACTACCTGGGCAGTATGATGCAGATAAAAAGACTTGTCTCTAGTTCAAGCCCTTCCTGCTTCATAGCATTTCACAGAGACTCTGGGAAAGTTATCTTTTAGTGTCATATCATCTTCAACTGTAAATGAGTATATTATTATTCCCCCTTAATGTAAATGAGGACATTATTCCCCCCTTAATGCAAATGAGGACATTATTCCCCCATTAATGTAAATGAGGACATTATTATTCCACCATTAATGTAAATGAGGATATTATTATTCCCCCTTAATGTAAATGAGGACATTATTATTCCCCCTTAATATATGAGATTATATGATTTTATATATATGTGTATATATAACATTTTTATAATTTCTAAAAATATTTTATATGTATGAGATTATACATATATCATATATATGTATACATGTATACATGTGTACACATGTATACATATATGTATACATAGCTATATATGTATATACATATAAATATGCATATATATGTATATTTATACATATTTATATATGTATAGATATATATGTATATATAACATTTTCATATTTTGTGCTACCTAGTATTCAAAGCAAAACAGTAGCCACTTTTTTCCTATGTTGTAATCATTTCTATCAGAAATACTAAGTATAAAGATCACTGTCTATTAATAAAGTAGCAAAAAATCACATTATGAAATACAGATTCAAAAAGGCAACCATACAGTGAATATTGATACATTTTCACTCTTTGCAAATATAAAATCTGGTAAATAATCCAACAAGCTGCACTGAAAACACTTGATAAATGAAATCTACAACAGATAGTTATTTGGGAGAAGACTAACTCTTGCTACTAGGAACCCCACTGTGGCACTTTCGAATCCTTCCCTCTTTTTGGATTTTTCTCTTGCCCTTGCTTATCCTCTTTCCTGGTAGGACATTCATCCATTCTTGGTGATCTGCTCTCCACCCTTCCATATCACAACAGTGGTACTCAAAATTTATTCTATTGATCTTTTTGGGCAGTGTTCCACAAAATTTAAGTGTCATGGGAATCATTTGGTAAGTTATTCAAATTACAAATCACCAAGCCCTTCCCTCAAAGATTTCTGATGGCATTGGTCTGCTGCATGGCCCATTCATCGGCAGTTTTAACAGTCACCCTCAGTGATTCTCATGCATGTGATTATAATGTACTGTTTTAGGATCACTTTTTGCTAGAGGGTGGTCACCTTTTACCAGAAGAATACTGTATTTGCTTTACCAAGCCCTGCCCTGGAATGTTCAGTTGAGTACTGATCAGCAGATCTGTGAGAAACTATTCAAAGTCAAAAAGAACCACCTGAAAGAATGTGAGGCAACAGTGTCTGGCTCTCACACAGAACTGGGAATTGTGCTGGTTGCCATCAGCTGTGCAAGAAAACTTCTTAATTCATAGGGCATTGGATGGAGTGCCTAAAAAGTCTTGCCTCAACAGTGGGGAATAATTAGCCCTAGACTGATCATAGCTCCTATCACACCTAACAAATCTTAAATGCCAGACCTGAAAAAATAAAAACCATTGCTAAGTAATCTGACAGCATTCCAGAACAAAGCCCAAGAATATTTCTAAGAATACAAAAACATACAGCACTCAACAAAGTAAAATTCTCAGTATTTGACATCCAGTAAACAATTGCCAATAATTCAAAGTAGCAAAATATGACCCCCATACTGAGAAGAAAAACCAATTACTTAAAATTAACCAAGAACTAATATAGATGTTAGCATTAACAGAAAAGGGCATTAAGACAGTAACCATATTATATTTGCTCAAAAAATTAAGTAGAGACATGTAAGATGTTAAAAATACTCAAACATCTAGAGAGCAAAACCATAATGTATGAGATTAAAAATATACTGGTTGACATTAACAGCAGTTTGAAAGTTACAGAAAAATAGTGACTTTGAAGATGCATCAATAAAAATTATGCAAAATACAATACAGAGAAGGAAAAAAGGACATTTTTTTAAACTTAATAGAGCATTGGTAAATTGTGGGACAATTTCAAGAGACCTAATACACATGTAACTGTAATCTCTGAAGGGGAAGAGAAAGACAGAGAGATAAAAAATATCTGAAGAAATAATAGTGTAAATATTCCAAATTTGATTTGAAAAACTATAAACCCATAGATCCAAGAAGCTCAATAAACCCCAAGCATAAGGATAAAAGGAACAACACAAAGTCACATTACATACAGAAGAACAAACATGAGCAAGACAACACGTTTCTCATCAGAAACAATTCAAGCAGGAAGACAGTGGAGAAACCTCTTAAAAATACTAAAAGAAAAAGATACATTTTGAAAATTACTTTTAGAATATTAGCAAATCTACGACCATAAAATTTCTGACTTATGCATAAGTTCTAAAAATGAGAATAAAAAAGTTTTTCCTGTTAGAGAAAACTATCTTATACCCAATAAATATAGGGTAAAAGATTAATTACTGAGCCACTGTAAAATTCCACTGTACATAGTTATGTAGTATGTATGCATTATTATTCCTATGGATGAAAAGTAGTTCACACACTATTTTATAAGAAACAAGGTTTCTGCCCAATTTTTTTTTTTTTTTTTTTTTTTTAGACGGAGTTTCGCTCTTGTT